GTTTTGATTTCTATTTGCATGGAACACCTTTTCTATCCCCTCAGTTTCAGTCTTTGTGTGTCTTTAGAGCTGAAGTGAGTCTCTTGTAGGCAGCAGAAATAAGGGTTTTGTTTTTGTATCCATTCAGCCCCTCTGTGTCTTTTGATTGGAACATATAGTCCGTTGCAGTTAAGGTAATTATTGATGCATGTGTTCTTACTGCCATTTTGTTCATTGTTTGGGGGTTGTTTTCTCTTTTCCTTTTGTTCTTGTTGTTTGGTGACTATCTTTAGTGTTATGTTCAGATTTTTTCTTTAAAAAAATATTTATGTGGCTGCGCTGGGTCTTAGTCGCGGCATGCAGGATCTTCTCTGCATCACATGGAATCTTGTTGCAGTGCACGGACTTTCTGGTTGTGCACAGGCCCAGTAGTTGTGGCTTGCAGGCTCTCAGTTTGGGGCACACGGGCTCCGGAGCGCACAGGCTCAGTAGTTGTGGCACGTGGGCTTGGTTGCCCTGCAAGCATGTGTGATCTTAGTTCCCTGAGCAGGGTTCACACTTGTGTCCCTGCATTGCAAGATGGATTCTTAACCACTGGACCACCAGCGGTCCCTTTTTCCTTGTGCATATATGTGTGTGTGTATTAGGTTTTTTGGTTTGTGGTTATTGTGAGGTTTTTTTAATATAGCAATCTTTATATATGTGATTATTTTAAAGTTGCTGATCTCTTAATTTCAAATGCATTTTTAAAAACCCTCATGATTACTGGTTTTTATATCATACCTTTCATTTAATTGTTTTGTGTACCCCTTAACTGCTTAAGGGGATTTGATGTAGATGATTTTACTGGTTTTGTTTTTCAACCTTCCTTCTCACTTTGTGCACGGTTGATTCCTTACCTTTACTGTATGTGTGCCTTTGCCAATGACCTTTTTCATTTTGTAGTTTTCATGTTTCCAATTGGGGCCTTTCTTTTTTCACCCAGAGTAGTTCCTTTAGTATTTGATATAAATCTCGTTTGGTGGTGCTGAACTCTTAACTTTAGCTTGTTGATAAAACTTTTGATCTTTCTATCAAATCTGAAGGAGAGCCTTGCTGTGTATTCTTGGTTGTAGACTCTTCAATTTCATCATTTAAAATATATCATTCTTCTGGCCGGCAGAGTTTCTGCTGAAAAATCAGGTGATAACCTTATGGGAGTGCCCCTGCTTTATTTACCCTTGGTGCTTTTAAGATTCTCTCTTTAAATTTTTGTCATTTTAATTAGAATGTGTCTTGGTGTGTTCGTCTTTGGGTTTATCCTGTATGGAACTCTCTGCTCTTCCTGAACTTGGGTAAGTGTTTCCTTTCCCAGTTTACAGAAGTTTTCAGCTATTATTTCTACAGATATGTTCAATCCTTTCTTTTTTTTTTTTAAATTTCTCTTCTCCTTTTGGGACCCCCTATAATGTGAATATTAGTGTTCTTGATATTGTCCCAGAGGTCTCTTAAACTGTCCTCATTTTAAAAAAATGTTCTCTTAAGTGGCCATGATTTCCACTACTGTCTTCTAGCTTGCTGATCCATTTTTCTGTCTGTTTTAGTCTACTGTTGATTCCTTCTGATATATTTGGTAGAAAATTGCTTTACAGTGTTTTGGTTTCTACCACATGATGTGACTCTCTCATGATTGTGTATATATCCTCTTCCTTTTGAGCCTCCACCGTGCCACCCCCCGCCCCCAATCCTACCCCTCTAGGTCACCGTAGAGTGCCGGGTTGGGCTCCCTGTGTGATAGAGCAACTTCCTACTATTTTACACATGATAATATATATATGTCAAGGCTACTTTCTCCATTCATGCCACCCTCACCTTCCCCCACTGTGTCCACATGTCCATTCTCTACTGGGTTCATCAGTATGATTTTTCTGGTAGCTTGGTGCAAAAGTAACTATGGTTTCAGATCCTGAATGTTAGTTCATCATAACTAGGCTCAAAGACATCTTTATTAGTCAAAATAGGAACCATGACAATCAACACATTTTTGCAAATGAGAAATGTTTGTTTTTTCCTGTAGCATAAAAAAAAAAACTGTGCTTCCAGATATGACGAACTCTTGGAAAACATTTTCTGCATCCTCCTGGTTGTGGAAGCATTTTCCCTGCAAAAAGTTGTTGAGATGCTTGAAGAAGTGGCAGTCAGTTGGCGAGAGGTCAGGTGAATATGGAAGATGAGGCAAAACTTTGCAGCACAATTCGTTCAACTTGCGACATGTTCATTATGTGACATGTGGTCAGGCGTTGTTGTGGAGAAGAACAGCTTCCATTCTGTTGACCAGTGCCAACAGCAGGCACTGCAATTTTTCGTGCATCTCACTGGTTTGCTGAGCATACTTCTCAGATGTAATGGTTTCACTGGGATTCAGGAAGCTGTAGTGGGTCAGACGGGCCTCAGACCACCAAACAGAGACCATGACCCAACTATATGTTCATTAGCAGTTCCTGGTCTGGATGCATTGTTGATATTGCAAGTTGTCTCTGCTGCTTTATAGCCCATTTTGAACTCGAATAAGAAAATTTCTCGAATTTCCTGTTTGTCTAACATCATTGCTATAGGTCTAAAATACATATAAAATAAACAACAAGTAATAATTCATTAGCAAAAAGCATAAAGCAAGAATTGTGCATTGTGCATTAAAATGATGTATAACATAAGCAGATTTATACAAGAATGTATTTAAATATCTAATGGCAAAGTTCAACAATGCAAAACTGAAATTACTTTTGCACCAACCTAGTAGATTCCATATATGTGTGTTAATATGTGATATATGTTTTTCTGACTTACTGCACTCTGTATAAGAGGCTCTAGGTTCATGCACCTCACTAAATCCAACTCAAATTCATTCCTTTTTATGGCTGAGTAATATTCCACTCTGTGTGTGTGTGTGTGTGTGTGTGTGTATCACATCTTCTTTATCCATTCATTTGTAAATGTACATCTAGGTTGCTTCCATGTCCTGGCTTTTGTAAATATTGCTGCAATGAACATTGGAGTACGTGTGTCTTTTAGAATTGTGGTTTTCCTTCTAGTATATTTTTCATTTCAACTATTGTATTCTTCATCGCTGTCTTTTTAAATATATATTTTCTCTTTGCTAAATATTTTTAACTTCTTATCCTGTGCATCCTTTATTCTCCTGCGTTCTTTGATCATCTTTACAATTATTACCCTGAACTCTTTTTTGGGTGGATTGCCTGTTTCCACTTCACTAAGTTCTTCTGGGGCTTATCATGTTCCTTCATCTGGAACATGTTTCTCTGCCACCTCATTTTGCCCAAGTTGCTATTTATATTTTCATGTGTCTGCTAGGTTAATACCTATCTTGACCTTGGAGAAACTGTTCTGTACAAGATGGCCTGTGTTGTCACCAGCCTGTATGCTCTCGAGGTTTCCCGTGAGGGCTGTGTGGGCCCTTCTGTTGTGCAGGCTGACCGTGTGGGCAGTCTGGTAGGCTTGCCTGGCCTCCACTCTAGTTGGTTACCAGCCCATGCTTTATGAAGAGGCTGTTGGAGCTACTGGTTGGTGGGGCCCAGTCAGCAGGCAGCTGACTGCGGTACCCCAGGAGGCCTGGGGCTAGAGCCTGCTCACTGGTGGGTGGGTGCAGTTAGGGTCCAGAAGCTCTGGGGCTGTTGTCGGTCTACTACTGGTGGGTGAAACCAGATTTTGGTTTTAATGCTGGACCACTTATGGTCAGAGTCAGGTCCTGGAGTCTGATTGCAGTGCCCAGGGATCACAGGGCTGGTGTCTGATGACTGGTGTGTTGGGGGGTGGTGCGGGAGGTGTTTCCTGACACAGTTAGCTATGGGGTCAAGGGCATTCTGAGGCTGTGCCTGCCTGCTAGTAGGGAGCGCCAGGGCCAGCTGGTCCCAGGGTAGGGTCTGGCCTGCTGTGGGCAGGCCGGCCCTGCAGCTGTGGCTCTCTTGCATCTAGTGTCTGCCGCCTGGTAGGGGAGGCGTGTCCAGAGCCTGGAGCAGACTCCTGGACAGTTTGGCTGGTGCCTGCCCATTGGCGGGTGAAGGGCAAGGCTGGTCTAGAGGTGACTGTGGTCTCAGGAAGGTTTGGGCGCCTGTCTGCTGAGAGGTGGGGCTGTGTCCTTGTCCGGTTAGTTACTTTCCAAGGTGTCCCAGCACTGGTGCCTGCAGGCTGTTGGACGGGCCAGGCTCCTCAGTGGGGCCTGCTAGTGTTCACCCAATAGAAAGAGCTCCAAGAACGGCCTCTGCCAGTGTCTTTGTCCCCAGGGTGAGCCCACAGCCCACCTTCCCCCACCTCTCCAAGAGACTCCCTAAGACCAGTAGGTAGGCCTGGTCCTGGCTCCTGTCAAGCGACTACCTTCGCCCTGGGTTCTAGAAGGCAGCAGATTTTGTGTGCTCCTTTCAAGAGCCTCGTCTCTTTCCCTCAGCCTTTAGGGACTCGCGAGGCTAAGCCCCACTGGCCCCCAGAGCCAGGTTCCCCGGGCTGTGGGGCCTGATCTGGAGCTCGGCACTCTCACTGCTGGGGAGAACCTCTGCAGTACAGTCCCTCTCCAGGCTGTGCGTCGTCTCTGTGGTGAGGGACCTGGCTATGTTGCGGCCTCCTACCTGTCTCGTTCTAGTTCCTTCCTTGTGTCTTTAGTTAGACTTTTTTCTGGTAGGTCCTGGTCTTTTTCATGGGAGGTTGTGATTTTGGTGTGCTTCTGAGAGGAGATAAGCCCATGGTCTTTCTGCTTTGCCATCTTGCCTAATCTCTCCTCCCCTTCTGTCCATTTTTTCAAAGAAACAGCTCTTGGTTTCATTGATCTTTATAAAGTTCTGGGGTTTTTTTACTCACAGTATTTGGTGTGAAATAACAAATTTTGAGACATGGAAAAAAATAAAGTGTGACCCATGGTTAGGAGAAGAGCTTAGAGAAGCCGAATCAGTGATGGGCCAGATATTGAACAGTTGGAATGGAAGAGCAGTTAGAAAATTTTAACAGGAAAGTGGAAGACTATAAAAAGATCTAACTGGGAATGCCAGAGTGATGGTACCATGTTAGAAGGTAAGTATTCGTTTGATGGGCATGACAGCAGACTGGACGTAGTTGGCAAACCCCAAGTAGAATAAATACAAAGCTGAGAAACGTGGCTAACTCAGCACTGTTAAATCTTCCAGTTCACGAACATATAATGTGTTTCAGTTTAAGTCTAATTACTCACGACAGTGCTTAGTATAAGTTGTCAATATATAACATCATGTACTTCTTTACTTAAATGTATTCCTAAGAAGGTTTTTTCTTATGCTGTTACAAATGAGATTATTTTCTTAATTTCATTTTCAGGTTGTTCATTGCTAACGTATGGAAATACAAATTATTTTTTTATAAATCCATGGGATATTTGTAGGTTAAATCTTTCAATCTTGCTGAATTCTGTAATTAATAGCTTTTTATGTCTTTTTTCTAGAATTTTCAGTGTACAAGGTCATGTCATCTGTAAATAGAAGTTATTTCTTCCTTTTCAGTCAGCATGCCTTTTATTTATTTTCTTTGCTGAATAGCCTTGCCTGGAACCTCTAATACAATGTAGTATAGAAATGACTGTGTGTTATCTCTTCTCTAAATGTTTGCCATTCTTATTAAATGGTATAGAATATAAGCTGTTTTTATGTCCGTCAATATTGAAGAATACTGACTTCATGAAATTAGTGTCATTGTAATTATAGGATGGTGATTGGGGCCATTAAAATTTTTTTTTCAATTGGTGGACAATTGATTTACAATTTTGTGTTGGTTTCTGCTCTACAGCTGTGTGAATCAGTCATAATTATATCCCTTCCTTCCTGAGCTTCCTTGGGGCCATTTTGATCTACAAAATATGTAACTTTTTTTTGATTGATTGAAGAACATTTTAATAATTTCACTTTTTTTTCTTTTAGGTTTTCTCAAATAATGATGAAGGCCTTATTAACAAAAAGTTACCCAAAGAACTTCTTTTGAGGTAAGTGTAAGTAAACTTTAAAGATTTCGTATATGATTCGGTCATCAAGTTCCAAGACAGTCTCCTTTCTCACTGTGAGTCCATAGCATAGAAAAACAGACAGAATTAGCCTAACTGACTTTCTGTTTTTGTTTTATAGAATGCTGTTCAGCTTGTTGTTAAGTTTTACTTGGTCTAATCCAGAATGTACTAAGTATGTACGTAGCATTGGTCTGGATTCTTTTTGTAATGTGGTAAGTATTGTAATAATCTTCAGTAGGTGACAGTGGGTATCAGTAGATTATCTCAATGTAGTCAGTAACTCAAGGAGAGGTTATTAAGGCTTCGAGCTCCTGAAGTTACAGACGTTTAGATGTTTTCTGAAAAATTGGTTTTAAAATAATTATACTGTGTGTTCTTACTGAGCACGTAAAATGGTGTCAGCCCAAATACTGATGTTATCCATTTTATGAGAGTTATGTGCTAAGTGACAGTGCTATAGAACAGGCTTTCTGTCCTTTATTTTTAGCATTGCTGAATGTACAGGTCATGGTATTTTGCTTGGCATTTTGCCAAGTAAAGCTGCGACCGACGCTTGTTGATCCTCGGGCACTGCAGTTTCCTTTCGTACTCAGCGAGCATCAAGGAAACCTTAGTTTAGTTTTGGATGTTCTATTTTAATTGTTAGCAAACACTTAATACATGAATACGTGATCTTATGAGTGGCATTTCCCAAACGTTTCATATCAGTAATGTTTCACAAAACAAAACAAAAAACAGGTTTTGTGATCAGTAAGTATGGGAAACACGAGGTAAACAAAACCAATTTCTTTACTGCATGCCCTCCGGAACCTTAATAGGCTAATACGCGTGGCGATGCTCCCAAGTGAATGACTGTGGCATTTCGAACTTACTGACCTTGGGCCTCTTTTAATAATCCTTGGAAATTTTGGGGGGAGATGCTGACATACAGTAAGAAATTGACCAGCTGACCCCATTCCCTGCCTGTGTTTAATCTCATTTTAACGTGTGGGGGATGAGTATGTGTGTTCTGTTTACATATTGGAGTTGCTCTGTAAATGCAGCCTCCTCAGTGTTTTCAGCTCCTGTTCTTGAGTCAGGAATGGGGCGAAGACTTGGTGTCTTGTGGTGATGATCACATTTTAGGGGCTTCAGGATGGCATTTCATTAGTTATCAGGTGTTGCCAAGAGCTCATTATGCTCAGTTAATTAAAAACAATTAAGTGATGGCAGAATCATATGAAAGATACAGCAATTATGTTTTATTTCAACAAAATAAATATGTGCTTGGCCAAGAGAGAATATTCTTTGGCTATCATGACCATTTTAAAGTTCCAAAAGTGGTAACAAGGAAGGAATGATATGTTTATGATACAAACCCACACGGTCCTGATGAAGCACAGTGAGCTGTTAGAACCAGAGTGGTTCGGATGGGCCGGCTGTGACCGGGCAGCCTAGGGGGTGCCATCCACACAGACCGCAGAGCGAGTGGGGGTTCCAGAGTTGTGCAGTGTTTCACTCTTGGTCTGACACTTTGCTAGCACAGACATCAAACCTTAATGTGAATATGTCACTTAGACCCCGGGGGACCCATAAGCAGCTTCTGGCCGGCCCGCATGAGTCATTCAGCACTGGGGTGTGATTAAACTCCACCCTTCTCCTGAATACTGCTGCTGTTTGTGACTCAGGGCTGCTAACTGAATGTTTTTTCCCTTCTGGTAGAATTAGCTCTTACACTGTACTCAGCCATCGTACTGTTTCTACCTATTGACTGAAAGCGAGGAGGAGTTGGGCTGGGGAGCGCTGTGGAATTATATAACTTTCTGTGCTAGTGTGATTTCAAACTGCTGTTTTAGAAATTTGATTTTTTTAAGGATCCATGATGGACCCAGCTTTCAAAAATCCCGGAGCTGCAGTTTTTGAATCATGCTAAGGCTCACACATAGATCATCTTTAAAAAAAGAATTGTCATTTGAGAGCAAATGTTCATAACATGTTTATTCCTAGATTTGCATTCCCACTTCTTCCCTTATTTTGGAGTGTGTAAGGGGAAGTGAAAATTTAAAGGACTGCCACGGTAGGTCTTCTCTGACTCTTGGGTCTCAGACCTAACTCTAGCCAGATTTTAATTTTTGTTGGCCTTTAAATCATCTCTTATCATTTTACTCTCAGATTTTCTATTCTCAGTAGTAATAGCTTTCCCTTTGCCAGCTTCCCTTTTGAAGCAACAGTTTGAAGAAGAGCTTGAGCCAGGTTGCCAAGGCAGACGTCTTTATCACATGTCAACACCCCCACAAAGCGAGTGAGTGCCCCAGAGCCCCCACGTCACGCAGCTTAAATGCTGATGCTGTTGCTAAGTTCAGCGCTGTCTTCATACTTCCAGCCTGTCTTCGGCTTACATTTTTACTTCACGTTGTGAACGTCTGTGACAGAGCAGACTGTTGTTCTTGTTCTTACTGAATTCCTGTTTACTTTCCGTCTTCATCAATAGGTGTGAATTTTTTGACTTTATGATAATCCTATTTATTTGCCGCCAAGGTCATTTTCTCCTCTGCCATTTTTTTTTTACCGCATCCGTTACTACCCTCTTAAATTCTGTACTCGCTTCCATTACTGATCGTATCCAGTGAAGTTTGAGCTTACTCTCTGGAACCATTAACAAGCATAACCTAGAATTATGTACTCTTCATCACTTTATTATCACTTTGAATCCAGTCAGAAAAATCTGAGTTTTTTTAATCTGATCATCTTATTTCTAGTTTTAAGACCCCTCAATATTAGTAATTCACAGACTCCTCCTGCTACCCGTTTTCAGTTTGTTAGTTAATAAGCGTTGACAGTTGTGCTCTTTCTGTCCTGCTTTCACTTATAAATTAAGGATGTTAAAGTTCTCCCTCTACCTTTCATGCACACACAGTTCAACAAATGGCTTGTAATTTTGCTATTCCTGGAGTCAGTTATGTAATGCTTGTAATAATGAAAATGTATAGTTTGTTATAATCTCTGTATGTGTTAGTGAGTTGAGTTGTCCTCGCTTATACTTATCTTCATTGTTATTGGATATATTACTTTTGGAGCTTGACTTGCTTGAGGTTTCTACTCTCCCCATTTACTGGTAGTGTGACCTTAAAGTGACTTCACTCTCCAGGCCTAATTTCCCATATCTGTAATAGTACTAGTAATGGTTCTTACTTTAAGGGGCTGTTGGTAGCTCTGAGCACCTGGCACTTAATAAATGTTAAGTAAATGTTTTATTATTATATAATATCAATTTTGGACGTCTGAATACTTAATAAATACTCTTGACAGTACAGTTAGTTTTAATACAAACAATTGGTAAAAGCAGGCTATCCTGATATGCATCTTAACATATGCTACTGCTAACCATCTCAGTAAAGGACCTGATTATTAAGCAAGTTAATATGGCCTACAGCTTCATTTCATCAACTTGCACTAATTTAATCTCAACAGAAATTGCATACTACCACCTGACATTAAACTGACAACTTTTGGCACTTGAGCAGAGTAGTGGTGGTAATTATGACAACTGATAATTATTTGGTATTATCAAGAAGGCAGTCTCTTGGAAAGAACCATTCCTCTTTTGAGAAAAGCAGTCTGGCGTGAGCAAATATTGGCCCACAATTCAGGTTTCAAACTGTAAGATTAGTTTGTTTGACCTTAAGTTTTTACTTCTCTTATGGGCAAACAGTAAAGAGTCTGCCTGCAGTGTGGGAGACCTGGTTTGATCCCTGGGCTGGGAAGATCCCCTGGAGAAGGGCATGGCAACCCACTCCAGTATTCTTGCCTAGAGAATTCCATGGACAGAGGAGCCTGGTGGGTTACAGTCCATGGGGTTGCAAAGAGCAGGACACAACTGAATGACTAACACACACACACACACATGTGGTTGTTTTCAGATTTTAGTGATGGAATGAAAATGCATGTAAACAGCTTCATAGGAATAGGGAGTGCTACATGCAGTAAATATTTTAAAACATTTTGAGAAAACATGACTCTTGTTCAGTTCGTTCAGTTGCTCAGTCGTGTCTGACTTTTTGCAACCCCATGAACCGCAGCACGCCAGGCCTCCCTGTCCATCACCAACTCCCAGAGTCCACCCAAACCCATGTCCATTGTGTTGGTGATGCCATCCAACCATCTCTTCCTCTGTTGCCCCCTTCTCTTCCTGCCCTCAATCTTTCCCAGCATCGGGATCTTTTCAAATGAGTCAGCTCTCCGCATGAGGTGGCCNGGAGTTTCAGCTTCAGCATCAGTCCTTCCAATGAATATTCAGGACTGATCTCCTTTAGGATGAACTGGTTGGATCTCCTCGCAGTCCAAGGGACTCTCAAGAGTCTTCAACACCACAGTTCAAAAGCATCAGTTCTTTGGTGCTCAGCTTTCTTTATGGCTCTTGTTAGTAATGAATAATAATGAAAGAAAGCTTGTTAGACGTATTTTTAAAAACCATATCACCATTATCTATGTTATTTTCTTTTCTTTTAAAATGTATGTGGATCCATGACAGAATTAAGTCCTGAATGTGTTTGTGGGCTTGATGAAGAAGGATTGATTGCCCCAAACAGGAGAGCTGAGCCTAGTAATTTTGGCAAATGGAATCAACTACATAATTACATATAATTTGGCAGTTTTACTAGTTTGCTAGGGAAAATGATAAAATAACTAGCACTTAAATTTTCAAATTTCCCGTTTCTAAAATGTATAAGCCAATTCCATGAGTGAAAATAATTGTGGTTTTTGTTGTAATTATTAAGTTACAGCCCAATGCCTATCTGTAATCTCGGGACCCTGGGGAGCAGTGCAGTACCGGGCTCATTCCTGTATGGGGCATCATTGAAGGGGCGTTCTTGCCTGCTGGCTGGTTGTAGTACTCCATGGACTTTTTCAAGGACTGCTACCTTCTGCTGTCTGTGATGCCTTTGTATATATTCCAAGGCAACCAAACGGGTAAGATGCTCTTTTAGGGGCACATACTGCAAACTGGGCTTCCCTGGTGTCACAGATGGTAAAGACTCTGCCTGCAATGCAGGAGACCTGGGTTCCATCTCTGGGTCAGGAAGATCCCCTGGAGAAGGGAATGGCTACCCACTCTAATATTCCTGCCTGAAGAATTCCACGAACGGAGGAGCCTGGCGGGCTACAGTCCACGGGGTCGCAGAGAGTTGGACACGACTGAGTGGCTAACAAGTAGTCGTAGAACTTCAAATAC